CGGCGTACCGAAGTTTGCATGCCTTTCCTAGATTTTGAAGACTAAAAGGAATTTAAAATCAAAACAATACATACCGTGAACAGCATACCCACGTGTCTCAACGATTAAAAATGGATCGCATGGATTTCTCCCACAAAACCCTCCACGACTACGACGTTCTGGCTGTGATGCGCAACGGCTCGTTCGGGACCTTGTTCAAGGTGCGGGACAAGAGCTCCGGCGAGCCGTTTGTCCTGAACGGCATCAATTACGACAAGCTGGACGAGGTCAAGTGCGAGGCGTTGTTCTCGGAGATAACCATGCTCCGCGAACTGCAGCACCCTAGTATTGTGCAATACCACCACCTTTTCGACAATCGGGTGATGAAGGTATTGCACATTGTTATGGAGTGCTGTGCCGGCTGCGATCTCGCCGGCTAAAAGGAATTTAAGATCAAAACAATACATACCGTGCACAGCATACCCACGTGTCTCAACATTCAAAAATGGATCGCATGGATTTCTCAAACAAAACCCTCCGACTACGACTTGCTGGGCGTGATGCGCAACGGCTCGTTCGGGACCTTGTTCAAGGTGCGGGACAAGAGCTCCGGCGAGCTGTACGTCTTGAAGGGCATCGGCTACGACAAGCTGGACGAGATCAAGTGCGAGGCGCTGTTCTCGGAGCTTACCATTCTCCGGGAACTGCAGCACCCTAACATTGTGCAATACTTCCACCATTTCGACGCAGGTATTGCATATTGTTATGGAGTGCTGTGCCGGCGGCGATCTCGCCCAGCTCGTTGAGCGGGCGCGGACACAGCGACGCCGGTTGGAGGAGCGCTTCATATGGAGGGTGCTCTTCCAAGTGTGCCGTGCCCTGGATCGGTGCCACAGAAGGATTGACGGAGCCATCCTGCACAGAGATGTGCAGCCGGCCAACATATTCTTGGACGCTGCCGGCAACGCCAAACTGGGCGAGTTCGGCCTGGCCCAGATGATAAGGGAGCTAACCCTCGACGCTTCGGACGTGGGCACTCCGGACTACATGAGTCCGGAGCTAGTCCGCGGCAGGAGATAATGAAGGTAACTAGTACGCCCAAAGGGCCGCCTATGGTGGCTGGCCGGGAAGGCCTTCAGCGCGGAAACCATATTATTTTAAAATTGTGTGTTCAAATTAATACAATTAAAAATAAATTAAATTAAATTTTGCATGTTCCTCTACATGTGACCCTCGTTTCTACAGCTATATGATATAGTCGTCCGCTTTTCATAAAATTGTTCACAAAACTGTACAATAATATAAAGTGGCTATATATTAAATTTGATAAAAATCTTGAAAACAAAAAAAAATAATTTTTTTTTTTATTTCCGATCGTTCCTATGGCAGCTATATGATATAGTCGACATATATACGGGTGAGAGTATATAGAAGACTTACTGCAAAGTTTCATTCCGATTGCTTTAAAACTGAGAGACTAGTGTAATGAGGGGAATGCTATGGAATACATTTATATAAAGCTAGCGGTTGGTTTTAAACTAAAGGCCAACTTAAAGTTATGAGCATTGGGTGCTGTGGCCGCTTGATGTACAGTTTTAATATTATATGTGGAATATATATTTCTTTTTACCTTACTTTATATATTATTTTTTGTACGTTTTTTGTGAGTTCAGGAGCCATGGAAACTACTGTGGAATATATATTCCTTTGTTTTACTGTATATATTATTTTTGTACGTTTTTTTGTGAGTGTTATTAGTTTTAATTAGTTTGATATTAATTAAATTCTGGAATACCGGGTTTCTATGTAAAATAACAATTGAATCTTTATTATCTTTATTTTTATTTTGGCTTATCAAATATTTATTTTATAAATAAAGAAACTCTTTCAGTAAAAAGAAAAACTAGTTCTGATCAATTGTAGCTTTATATATTTTTTTTTAATTTCCCACTTAAAAAAAATTTTTTTTTTAATTTCCCACTTAAAAAATTTTTTTTTTTAATTTCCCACTTAAAAAAAAAAAAAAAAAAAATTAAGACTACGAGTCCGGAGCTAGTCCGCGGCAGGAGGTCCGACCGGAAGAGCAACGTGTGGGCCCTGGGCTGCGTGGTGTACGTGATGTACCCTGCTGAAGTTCTATCTGGAAGGGTATACAAACGTCGGCGTGTCGAAGTTTGCTTTCCTTTCCTTTATTCTGAAGGTTTAAAGAAAGACAAAAAGAAACCAAAAAAACATCAAGATGTGCGCGTGTGCAACAGCCAAAATGAACGTGAACGAAAAATCCCTCGACAACTACGACGTCCTGGCGGTGATGGGCAGCGGCTCCTTCGCGACGTGCAAGAAGGTGCGGGACAGGAGCACCGGCGAGCTGTTCGTGCTGCAGAGCATCAGCTACGACAAGCTGGACGAGATCGAACGCGACGCGCTGTTCTCGGAGGTTGGCATGCTCCGGGAACTGCAGCACCATAACATTGTGCAATACCACCACCAATTTGACAATCGGGTGGATAAGGTATTGCACATTGTTATGGAGTGCTGTGCCGGCGGCGATCTCGCCCAGTTTGTCGAGCGGGCGCGAACACAGAGACGCCGGTTCGAGGAGCGGTTTATCAAACGCGCTCCAGACATGGCAATGGGATGGCCAATGGACACAGCACCGCCGTGCACATTCACCTTGCCGGGATCCACATCCAGAATCTTGATATTGGCCAGCACCACCACGGAGAAGGCTTCATTAATTCCCCCCATATGCATGGTGCGGGACCTAAGCCTCGACGCTGCATTCGTGGGCACTCCGGTGTACATGAGTCCGGAGCTGCTCCGCGGCAGGAGTTCCGACCGGAAGAGCGACGTGTGGGCCCTCGGCTGCGTGGTGTACGTGATGTGCGCCCTGCGTCCACCGTTCCGTGGGTCCACCTTCGCTCTGCTGTCCGAGAGGATACTCCAGGGCGTGTTCCGTCGGATTCCTGCCGTGTACGGTTCCGATCTACAGGAGATCATCTCAGCTATGCTGATCGTAGATCGTGAACAGCGTCCCGACGTCGAGGTGTTCGTGCGGCATCCGTTGGTGATCCGGAATGCCAGCGAGCTGGGCGACGGTTTGCCGAACCTGGTCGAGGCTGGTGAGTACTTTTATTTTGTGCTATATTATTATATGACATACTAATCAAATTCGACTTTTTTTCAGAAGGACCTTCTCCTTGTTCCTCTTCGTCGACGTTGCCAATCCTACCATTTGGCACAATGGAGGGGCTCCGAGAGTTTGACACGCTCTTACTGTCAAACGAAGAGGCGAAGCAACAGATGGTGAGGACTAATTTTTATCAAATATTCTACAGTTTTTAAATATTTATTTCTATTTCAGAAATCTAAAATACGGCAAATAGATGGCATTGGTGTTGCTCGCTTCACCAGGAACGTGCTGAAAGCCGTTCTGGTTGAGCGTTTGAGCGTGCAGCTCTCGTGGAGAGGAACAAGGACGAAGCCTAGCTTCCAGAAGTTCAATTTGTTCCTCTTGATAAAAGGTAAAAATAATATATAGTAAAAAAAATACATTTAATTAATTTTATTTAAATTATCTTACAGGTGTTGCGTTAGAAAAGTTCGCAAATAGCGAACTGCTATGGCAGCTATATGATATAGTCGTCCGATTTTCATAAAATTGTTCACAAAACTGTACAATAATATAAAGTGGCTATATATTAAATTTGATAAAAATCTTGAAAACAAAAAAAAATAATTTTTTTTTTTAATTTCCCATATAAAAAAAAAAAAATTTAAGACTACGTGTCCGGAGCTGCTCCGCGGCAGGAGGTCCGACCGGAAGAGCGACGCGTGGGCCCTGGGCTGCGTGGTTGATTATTATGATTGATGCGTTAGGTTGATTCTAAAACGAACGGGAAGAAGAAGCTGACTAAAATAAATAAATAATTTGAAGCAACATGAGTGGCCAAGTGCAAAAAAGCCTTCGGGACTTCGACGTGCTGGCGGTCCTCGGATGCGGCTCCTTCGGGACCTGCTATAAGGTGCAGGACAGGAGCACCGGCGAGGTTTTTGCCTTAAAAGGCATAGATTACGACCAGCTAGACGAGGACAAGCGCGAGGCGCTGTTCTCGGAGGTCACCATGCTCCGGGAACTGCAGCACCCCAACATTGTGCAATACCATGACCATTTCGACAATCGGGTGGCCAAGGTATTGCACATTCTAATGGAGTGCTGTGCCGGGGGCGATCTTGCCCAGCTTGTCGAGCGGGCGCGAACAGAGCGACGCCGGTGCGAGGAGCCGTACTAGCGGTTGGTTTTAAACTAAAGGCTAACTTAAAATTATGAGCATTGGCTGCTGTGGCCGCTTGATGTACAGTTTTAATATTATATGTGGAATATATATTACTTTTTTACCTTACTTTATATATTAATTTTTTGTACGTTTTTTGGTTTTTTTTTTTCCTGCCAATTGCCTATGATATTAATTAAATTCTGGAATACCGGGTTTCTATGTAAAATAACAATTAAATCTTTATTTTTATTTTGGTTTCTCAAATATTTATTTTATAAATAAAGGAACTCTTTTAGTAAAAAGAAAAACTAGTTCCGATCAATTGTAGCTTTTTATATATATTTCAAGGGGTAAACATTTTTTTTTTTTAGTTTATGTCATAATTTTCTACCCTTGCGGGGTACAATACTTTTAGTCAGAAGCTTTGGCGGAGTCATTCCCGACCAAATATATCATATATATTCTTGATCATCGTCAAAAGGCAATCTTTCTAGATATCTCCGGCAGAAAAAAAAAAATTTTTAAGACTACATGAGTCCGGAGCTGCTCCGCGGCAGGAGGTCCGACCGGAAGAGCGACGCGTGGGCCCTGGGCTGCGTGGTGTACGTGATGTGCGAAATTATAATACCCTGCTGAAGTTCTATCTGCAAGGGTATACAGACTTTGGCGTCCGAAGTTAGGTTGATTCTAAAACGAACGGGAAGAAGAAGCTTACAAAAATAAACAAATAATATTTGAAGCAACATGAGTGGCCAAGTGGAAAAAAGCCTTCGGGATTACGATGTGCTGGCGGAAATCGGAAGCGGCTCCTTCGCGACCTGCTATAAGGTGCAGGAGAGGAGCACCGGCGAGGTGTTTGCCTTAAAAGGCATCGATTACGACCAGCTAGACGAGGACAAGCGCGAGGCGTTGTTCTCGGAGATAACCATGCTTCGGGAACTGCAGCACCCTAACATTGTGCAATACTTCCACCATTTCGACAGTCGGGTGGTGAAGGTATTGCATATTGTTATGGAGTGCTGTGCCGGCGGTGATCTCGCCCAGCTTGTCGAGCGGGCGCGAGCAGAGCGACGCCGGTGCGAGGAGCCGTACATTTGGCGGGTGCTCGTGCAAGTGTGCAGTGCCCTGGACTGCTGCCACAACGGTACGGACCGAGCGATCGTACACAGGGATGTTAAGCCAGCTAACATCTTCCTGGACGCTGCCGGCAAAGCCAAGCTGGGTGATTTCGGCCTGGCCCAGATGCTGAGGCGGGACCAGAGCTTCGACGCTGCGTTCGTGGGCACTCCGGTGTACATGAGTCCGGAGCTAGTCCGCGGCAGGAGGTCCGACTGGAAGAGCGACGTGTGGGCCCTGGGATGCGTGGTGTATGAGATGTGCGCCCTGCGTCCACCATTCCATGAGCTGTGCGAAAGGATAGTCCAGGGCGTGTTCCTTCGGATTCCTGCCGTCTATTGTTCCGATCTACAGGAGACCATCTCAGCTGTGCTGGCCGTAGATCGTGAACAGCGTCCCGGCGTCGAGGTGTTCTTGCTGCATCCGTTGGTGGTCCGGAATGTCAGCGAGCTGGGCGGCGGTTTCCCGAACCTGGTCGAGGCTGGTGAGTACTTTTACTGCCTGCTCTATATTATATTATATTATTATTATATGATATATTCATCAAATTGGCGCTTTTTTTCAGAAGAAGATCCTTGTTCCTCTCCATATTCGTTGCCAAACTTACCATTTGGCACAATGGAGGGGCTCCGAGAGTTTGACACGCTCTTACTATCAAACGAAGAGGCGAAGCAACAAATGACATCTAAAATGCTGCAAATAGGTGGCATTGATGTTGCTCGCTTCACCAGGAACGTGCTGAGCTGGCCTGGCGCCTACTGGAAGAGATGGCCCTTTCCCGCAAACTGCCCAGGTGCGAGGTCTACCTGGCTCTACTCGATCGCCTCGCCAAGCAACCAGGCCAACTTCCAGCCCAGCTCCGTCGGTTGTTGAAGTTGCAGTTAATACAATTAACAATTATATTATATTATATTATATTATATTTTTAGTTTTAAACACATATTTTCATAGAATTACCCTTAAAGCCATTTTATATTATTATAAAATTTTGTGTTTAGAAATTAGTACAATTTAAAATAAATTAAATTATAAATGTATTAATAAGAACTTTTTCAGTTTGCCACAGATTAATATCAAATTGGAGATATAGCCATTTTATAATAGTCGTGAATTTTGTGTCAAATTTTTTGAAATCGGACGACTATATCATTTAGGTGCCATATAACGATCGTTAGATGTAGAGGAAAAATGCGAATCTGTGAAGGTAAAACTGCAAATATAACATGTATAGGCGAATGAAATGAAAGCAGGTATTACTTCATTGTTTTTTAACATAAATATATATAATTGATATGTATTGATTCCTAGTCATCGAAGTTCTATCTGAAAGGGTATACAAACGTCGGCGTGCCAAAGTTTGCATTCCTTTCCTTGATTCTGAAGACTTAAAAAAAGACTAAAAGGAATTTAAGATCAAAACAATACATACCGTGAACAGCATACCCACGTGTCTCAACGATTAAAAATGGATCGCATGGATTTCTCCCACAAAACCCTCCACGACTACGACGTGCTGGCTGTGATGCGCAACGGCTCGTTCGGGACCTTGTTCAAGGTGCGGGACAAGAGCTCCGGCGAGCCGTTTGTCCTGAACGGCATCAATTACGACAAGCTGGACGAGGTCAAGTGCGAGGCGTTGTTCTCGGAGATAACCATGCTCCGCGAACTGCAGCACCCTAGTATTGTGCAATACCACCACCTTTTCGACAATCGGGTGATGAAGGTATTGCACATTGTTATGGAGTGCTGTGCCGGCTGCGATCTCGCCGGCTAAAAGGAATTTAAGATCAAAACAATACATACCGTGCACAGCATACCCACGTGTCTCAACATTCAAAAATGGATCGCATGGATTTCTCAAACAAAACCCTCCGACTACGACTTGCTGGGCGTGATGCGCAACGGCTCGTTCGGGACCTTGTTCAAGGTGCGGGACAAGAGCTCCGGCGAGCTGTACGTCTTGAAGGGCATCGGCTACGACAAGCTGGACGAGATCAAGTGCGAGGCGCTGTTCTTGGAGCTTACCATTCTCCGGGAACTGCAGCACCCTAACATTGTGCAATACTTCCACCATTTCGACAATCGGGTGGTGCAGGTATTGCATATTGTTATGGAGTGCTGTGCCGGCGGCGATCTCGCCCAGCTCGTTGAGCGGGCGCGGACACAGCGACGCCGGTTGGAGGAGCGCTTCATATGGAGGGTGCTCTTCCAAGTGTGCCGTGCCCTGGATCGGTGCCACAGAAGGATTGACGGAGCCATCCTGCACAGAGATGTGCAGCCGGCCAACATATTCTTGGACGCTGCCGGCAACGCCAAACTGGGCGAGTTCGGCCTGGCCCAGATGATAAGGGAGCTAACCCTCGACGCTTCGGACGTGGGCACTCCGGACTACATGAGTCCGGAGCTAGTCCGCGGCAGGAGATAATGAAGGTAACTAGTACGCCCAAAGGGCCGCCTATGGTGGCTGGCCGGGAAGGCCTTCAGCGCGGATGAGAAACCATATTATTCTAAAATTGTGTGTTCAAATTAATACAATTAAAAATAAATTAAATTAAATTTAGCATGTTCCTCTACATGTGACCCTCGTTTCTACAGCTATATGATATAGTCGTCCGATTTTCATAAAATTGTTCACAAAACTGTACAATAATATAAAGTGGCTATATATTAAATTTGATAAAAATCTTGAAAACAAAAAAAAATAATTTTTTTTTTTTATTTCCGATCGTTCCTATGGCAGCTATATGATATAGTCGACATATATACGGGTGAGAGTATATAGAAGACTTACTGCAAAGTTTCATTCCGATTGCTTTAAAACTGAGAGACTAGTGTAATGAGGGGAATGCTATGGAATACATTTATATAAAGCTAGCGGTTGGTTTTAAACTAAAGGCCAACTTAAAGTTATGAGCATTGGGTGCTGTGGCCGCTTGATGTACAGTTTTAATATTATATGTGGAATATATATTTCTTTTTTACCTTACTTTATATATTATTTTTTTGTACGTTTTTTGTGAGTTCAGGAGCCATGGAAACTACTGTGGAATATATATTCCTTTGTTTTACTGTATATATTATTTTTTGTACGTTTTTTTGTGAGTGTTATTAGTTTTAATTAGTTTGATATTAATTAAATTCTGGAATACCGGGTTTCTATGTAAAATAACAATTGAATCTTTATTATCTTTATTTTTATTTTGGCTTATCAAATATTTATTTTATAAATAAAGAAACTCTTTCAGTAAAAAGAAAAACTAGTTCTGATCAATTGTAGCTTTATATATTTTTTTTTAATTTCCCACTTCAAAAAAATTTTTTTTTTAATTTCCCACTTAAAAAATTTTTTTTTTTTAATTTCCCACTTAAAAAAAAAAAAAAAAAAATTAAGACTACGAGTCCGGAGCTGCTCCGCGGCAGGAGGTCCGACCGGAAGAGCGACGCGTGGGCCCTGGGCTGCGTGGTGTACGTGATGTGCGAAATTATAATACCCTGCTGAAGTTCTATCTGCAAGGGTATACAGACTTTGGCGTCCGAAGTTAGGTTGATTCTAAAACGAACGGGAAGAAGAAGCTTACAAAAATAAACAAATAATATTTGAAGCAACATGAGTGGCCAAGTGGAAAAAAGCCTTCGGGATTACGATGTGCTGGCGGAAATTGGAAGCGGCTCCTTCGCGACCTGCTATAAGGTGCAGGAGAGGAGCACCGGCGAGGTGTTTGCCTTAAAAGGCATCGATTACGACCAGCTAGACGAGGACAAGCGCGAGGCGTTGTTCTCGGAGATAACCATTCTCCGGGAACTGCAGCACCCTAACATTGTGCAATACTTCCACCATTTCGACAGTCGGGTGGTGCAGGTATTGCACATTGTACTGGAGTGCTGTGCCGGGGGCGATCTCGCCCAGTTTGTCGAGCGGGCGCGAACAGAGCGACGCCGGTGCGAGGAGCCGTACATTTGGCGGGTGCTCGTGCAAGTGTGCCGTGCCTTGGACTGCTGCCACAACGGGGCGGCACGAGCGATCGTACACAGGGATGTTAAGCCAGCTAACATCTTCCTGGACGCTGCCGGCAACGCCAAGCTGGGTGATTTCGGCCCGGCCCAGATGCTGAGGCGGGACCAGAGCTTCGACGCTGCGTTCGTGGGCACTCCGGTGTACATGAGTCCGGAGCTAGTCCGCGGCAGGAGGTCCGACTGGAAGAGCGACGTGTGGGCCCTGGGCTGCGTGGTGTATGAGATGTGCGCCCTGCGTCCACCATTCCATGGGCTCACCGTCGCTCAGCTGTCCGAAAGGATAGTCCAGGGCGTGTTCCATCGGATTCCTGCCGTGTACGGTTCCGATCTACAGGAGACCATCTCAGCTATGCTGACCGTAGATCGGGAACAGCGTCCCGGCGTCGAGGTGTTCTTGCTGCATCCGTTGGTGGTCCGGAATGTCAGCGAGCTGGGCGGCGGTTTCCCGAACCTCGTCGAGGCTGGTGAGTACTTTATATATTATATTATATTATTATTATTATTATATTAATCAAATTGGGGCTTTTTTCAGAAGGAGAAGATCCTTGTTCCTCTCCATATGTGTTGCCAATCCTACCATTTGGCACAATGGAGGCGCTCCGAGAGTTTGACACGCTCTTACTGTCAAACGAAGAGGCGAAGCAACAGATGGTGAGGACTAATTTTTATCAAATATTCTACAGATTTTAAATATTTATTTCTATTTCAGACATCTAAAATACGGGAAATAGATGGCGTTGATGTTGCTCGCTTCACCAGGAACGTGCTGTATGCCGTTCTTGATGACAGTTTGAGCGTGCAGCTCTCGTGGAGAGGAACAAGGACGAAGCCTAGCTTCCAGAAGTTCAATTTGTTCCTCTTGATAAAAGGTAAAAATAATATATAGTAAAAAAAAATACATTTAATTAATTTTATTTAAATTATCTTACAGGTGTTGCGTTACAAAAGTTCGCAAATAGCGAACTTTTGATTAACAAAACGTGCCAGCAGCATCTTGTTCATGCGCAAGATCGCATAAACAAGCGACTTAGGAGGAACAGGAACTGATGTATGTATTTAGTATGTAAGCGAATTAAAAACTAACATTTAAATTTCAACCTTTTACAGTTCAGCCATTCTCCAGGAAGGTCAGCGTCTGCGGAACGGCGAGGGCCTGCGATCAGCGATCTGCAGCGATCTCTTCGAGCGGCGCCAGGAGCTTGCCGACGATGAGTGGCTGGAGGTGCGCCGGTCCCTAGTGGGTGGCCACAAGCTCATCAACGCTCACAAGGTGGACGCCGTGATTCTGGGCGTGTGCAGCGGACCTCGCCAATTGGCCCTGGCCAAGGACTATGTGCAGTAGGCCGTCTGCTGCGGGTCTACAATGCGGCAGAGCAGGCGGAGATTCTGCAGACTTGCGCCACTCTGCAGACGAATCACGAGACTCTGGACGCCATTAGCTGTGAGCACCTGATCCACGGACTGGAGGCCACCAACGACGACTGGCAGCGTGCCCTGCCGCTGCTGGAGATGATGAAGGCAACCAGTACGCCCAGCGTGGCCGCCTATAGTGGCTGGCCGGGAAGGCCTTCAGCGCGGATGAGAAGCCGGAGCATTTGGAGCTGGCCTGGCGCCTACTCGATCACCTTGCCAAGCAACCTTGCCAAGCAACCAGGCCAACTTCCAGCCCAGCTCCGTCGAGTGTTGCAGTTCCTGGAGCGCCACGAGGAATTAATACAATTAAAATATATATATAATAAATAATATTTTTAGTTTTAAACACATATTTTTATAGAATTAAATTTAAAGCCTTTTTATATTATTATAAAATTTTGTGTTTAGAAATTAGTACAATTCAAAATAAATTAAATTATAAATTAATTAATAAGAACTTTTTCAGTTTGACGCAGATTAATATCAAATTGGAGATATAGCCATTTTATAATAGTCTTAAAGTTTGTGTACAATTTTATGAAAGTCCGACGACTATATCATATAGCCCCCCATGGGAACAATTGAGAAACTAATACAATTAAATATTATAATATTTTTAGTTTTCAACAGATTTCATCAAATTGAAGTTGTAGCCATTTCATATTATTCTACAATTTTGTGTTGAAATTAATACAATTAAAAATAATTTAAATTATAAATTAATAATATATAAGAACTATTTCAGTTTGCAACAAATTTATATCAAATTTGAGATATAGCCATTTTATATTAGTATTAAATTTTATGAAAATCGGACGACTATATCATATAGCTGCCATATGAACAATCGAGAAATTAATACAATTAAATATTATAATATTTTTAATTTTCAACAGATTTTCATAGAATTGAATTTAAAGCCATTTTATATTATTCTACAATTTTGTGTAGAAATTAATACAATTAAAACTAAATTAAATTATAAATTAATAAACAAGAACTTTTTCAGATCGCAACAGATTTTTATCAAATTTGAGATATAGCCATTTTATATTAGTATTAAATTTTGTGTATAATTTTATGAAAATCGGACGACTATATCATATAGCTGCCATATGAACAATCGAGAAATTAATACAATTAAATATTATAATATTTTTAATTTTCAACAGATTTTCATAGAATTGAATTTAAAGCCATTTTATATTATTCTACAATTTTGTGTAGAAATTTATACAAATAAAACTAAATTAAATTATAAATTAATAAACAAGAACTTTTTCAGATCGCAACAGATTTTTATCAAATTTGAGATATAGCCATTTTATATTAGTATTAAATTTTGTGTATAATTTTATGAAAATCGGACGACTATATCATATAGCTGCCATATGAACAATCGAGAAATTAATACAATTAAATATTATAATATTTTTAATTTTCAACAGATTTTCATAGAATTGAATTTAAAGCCATTTTATATTATTCTACAATTTTGTGTAGAAATTAATACAATTAAAACTAAATTAAATTATAAATTAATAAACAAGAACTTTTTCAGATCGCAACAGATTTTTATCAAATTTGAGATATAGCCATTTTATATTAGTATTAAATTTTGTGTATAATTTTATGAAAATCGGTCGACTATATCATATAGCCCCCATAGGAACGATCTAGAAAATAATACAATTAAAAATTATAACATTTTTAGATTTCAACAGAATTTGATCAAATTGAATTTAAAGCCATTTCATATTATTCTACAATTTTGTATAGAAATTAATACAATTAAAAATGAATTAAATTATAAATATAAATATATATATGTACATATATACATATATATATATAATTAATAAATAAGAACTTTTTCAGTTTGCAACAGAATTTGATCAAATTTGAGATGTAGCCATTTTATATTATTCTAAAATTTTGTGTCAATTTTTATGAAAATCGTATGACTATATCATCTAGCTTCCATAAAAACGATCGAGA